GACGTGGACAGAGGTATTCTGAGAGGCATCTTCATTAATGGTCTCAAGGAGGATGTTAAAACTGAACTAAAACTGTATAATTCCAGGTCCCTATCTGCAATCATGGATAGGGCATTGTTGATTGAACAACGAAATGATGCTGTGTATCGGAAACCTAAGGGGGAGGAAAGAGCAGGTGGGAAGGATAAGAGCAACATGAATGTCAAACCACCAGTATGGGGAGAAGGATTTAAGGCAAAAAGTGGACAACCATGGTCCAACACTGGAAGTAAAAACACTGCAGATAACAAAGGCAAACAGCCTTGGTACACTCCTGCAGGGGTAAGGGTGACTGAAATCAACCCCTCAGGTATCAAGCGGGTAGGGCCACAACTTTCTCAAGAGGAATATCAAGACAGGAGTAGGAGGGGACTCTGTTTCAAGTGCGGGGAAAAGTGGAGTAAGGAACACACCTGCAAACTGAAAAATTACAAACTGATATTAGTAGAAGATTCTGATGAAGAGGTGGAGTCAGAATCAACTGAACCTGAACTAGCTGAGGAAGAGGAGATCAATATGGAGTCAAAAACCATGCAGCTCTCTGTGATGAGCAGGGAAGGGATACCTTCCATGAAAGCTTTTAAGGTGAGAGGCAGTCTGAAATGGAGCCAAGGGGAATTTGCAGTAGAAGCATTGATTGATAGCGGGGCCACTCATAACTTCATATCTCAAGAACTGGTGGAAAAATTGGGCATACCCTACCAGACCATTGCTGGGTACAAAGTGCAGGTAGGGAACGGTGATAAAATCTCGAATAATGGCAGGTGTGATGGGCTGAGCTTAAGGCTGCAGGACACCATTATTAACCAGAAGTTCTATGTATTAGAATTAGGGGGTACTGATTTGGTTCTTGGCATGGAATGGCTGACTACCTTAGGGGATGTGGAAGTGAATTTCAAGAAGCAAATCATCACATGGCAACAATTGGGAGTAAGGCAGTCCATCCAAGGGGACTCACAGCTCAATTCACTTGAAGTATCTTTGCAGACCATGACTCAGATCATACAGGACAATGGGGATGGATATCTTATCTTATGTGAAGGCATTCTTACAGAAGAAAAAGAAAAAAATATGAAGGATCAGGGGTGGGAGGAATTGTTGGCAGAATTCAAAGAGGTAACCACTCCTTTGCAAGGGTTACCACCCCACAGAGCATGTGATCATGCTATCAACATCAAGGAGGGAGCTGACATACCCAACATCCGACCCTATAGGTACCCCCAGTATCAAAAAAATGAAATAGAGAAGATCATCAAAGAAATGCTGCAGTCTGGAATTATTCAACACAGTAACAGCCCATATAGCAGCCCTATATTGTTAGCCAGAAAGAAAGATGGGGGATGGAGGTTCTGTGGAGACTATAGAGCCCTAAATCAGATTACTGTCCCTGACAAGTTTCCCATACCCATTATTGAAGAGCTGTTGGATGAGCTAGGAGGTGCCATAATCTTTTCAAAACTAGATCTCAAGTCGGGGTATCACCAAATAAGAATGAAGGAGGCAGATATACAGAAAACTGCTTTTAGAACCCACGAAGGGCATTATGAGTACTTGGTCATGCCCTTTGGGTTAACCAATGCCCCCTCCACTTTTCAGGCTCTAATGAATCAGGTATTGAGACCATTTTTGAGAAAATTTGCTTTGGTTTTCTTCGATGACATCCTTGTGTACAGCAGATCTAAAGAAGACCACCTTATGCACATGAGAGAAGTGTTATCTGTGTTAAAGGAAAATCAGTTGGTTATTAATTTGAAGAAATGCTCTTTTGGAAGGTCCCAATTGGTGTACTTGGGTCATATTATATCTGGACAGGGTGTGGCAGCTGATCCAGCCAAAATAGAAGCTATGCTCAGTTGGCCAGAACCTAAGAATCTGAAAGGGTTAAGAGGGTTTCTTGGGCTGACTGGATATTATAGGAAGTTCGTGAAGAATTATGGTAAACTTGCCTTACCTCTTACCCAATTACTCAAGAAGGACAGTTTCAAATGGGATTCAAATGCCACTACTGTTTTTACTGAACTGAAACAAGTCATGACCTCTCTCCCGGTGCTAGCAGTACCAGATTTCAACAAACTCTTCATACTAGAGACTGATGCCTCAGGTACAGGGCTAGGGGCAGTCCTGATGCAGGAAGGGAGGCCCATAGCTTATATGAGCAAAGAACTATCCAAGAAAAATCAGTGCAAGTCAGTTTATGAAAGAGAGCTCATGGCTATCGTTTTAGCTGTACAGAGATGGAGGCCATATCTGTTGGGTAGATTTTTTGAGATCCATACAGATCAAAAAAGCTTAAGGTTTTTGGCTGAACAGAGAATTATGGGGGAGGAGCAGCAGAAGTGGACCTCTAAATTGCTAGGGTACAATTTTACCATCAAGTACAAACCTGGAATTCAAAATAGAGCTGCTGATGCCTTATCTAGAAGACCTATTCTACACTCACTCTCCATTGTCACTTGTCAAGAGTGGGAGGGGTTAGAGGAGGAGCTACATTCTGACCCTAAATGCCATGACCTGATTCAGAAGATCATCTCTCAACCTGATCAGCATCCAGACTTTCAGATTATTAAAGGGTTATTGTATTACCAGAAGAAGCTGGTACTGCCTAGGCAGTCCCCTAGAGTACTCAAGGTGTTAAAAGAATATCATGATTCATCAGTGGGAGGTCATTCAGGGTACTTTAGAACCATGAAGAGGATCAGCAATCTGTTTTATTGGTATGGAATGAAGACTGACATAAAAAAATTTGTTGAAGGATGTACCACTTGCCAAACAAATAAATATCAAGCTCTGAAACCCGCTGGATTGCTACATCCCCTGCCCATTCCCAGCAGTATTTGGACAGACATCAGTATGGACTTCATTGGGGGGCTACCAAGATCCCAGGGCAAAGATACAATCTTAGTGGTGGTGGACAGATTGACGAAATATGCACACTTCTTAGCTCTATCTCATCCCTACAATGCCAAGGAAGTTGCAGATTTATTCACAAAAGAGGTGGTTAAACTACACGGATTTCCTAAATCTATTGTAAGTGATAGGGATAGGGTATTTATGAGCTCCTTCTGGTCAGAGCTTTTCAAACTGGCAGGTACCCAGCTTAAATTCAGCACAGCCTACCATCCTCAGACAGATGGGCAGACTGAGGTTGTAAATCGTTGCCTGGAAACATATCTGAGATGCCTCACTGGGAGGAAGCCTAGACAGTGGACCCATTGGCTACATTGGGCTGAATTCTGGTACAACACCAACTACCACGCTTCTTTGAAATTGACCCCTTACAAAGCATTATTTGGGCAAGACCCTCCTGCGGTCATCAGGGGGGATGTGTCTTTAACTGCTGTGGAGGAAGTATCTAAATTGACAGCCCAAAGGAATGCCATGTTGGAGGAATTAAAAGGAAACCTAGCTCAAGCTCAGAATCTAATGCAACAACAAGCAAATAAGCATAGGAGGGAGATGGAGTTGACTGAGGGAGACAGTGTCTATCTCAAAATACAGCCTTACAAACTTCAAAGTCTGGCCAAGAGGATTAATCAGAAGTTGAGCCCCAGATTTTATGGCCCCTTTCAGATATTGGAGAAAATTGGCCCTGTAGCTTATAAACTCAAACTTCCAGAGAACAGCCGGATACATCCTGTGTTCCATGTTTCCTTATTGAAGAAGGCCTTAGCACCTACTACTGTTTGCCAGGACCTGCCCAAATGCCTTAATGAAGAACTAGAGCTACAAGTGATACCAGAAGAGGTGGTGGAGAGCAGAAGAAACCAGGAAGGAAAAAAGGAGGTTCTCATACATTGGAAGGGTTTACCAAAATTTGAAGATACTTGGGAAGATGCACAAGTAATGAAGGATCTATTCCCTGAGTTTCACCTTGAGGACAAGGTGAATTTTCAGGGAGGGAGTATTGATAGGATGACAGCTCAGCCACCTATTAAATATTTTAATAAAGTTTATCAAAGGAAGAGGGGAAGGGCAGTTTAGTAAATTTGCTCATAAGTTAGTTATTTACTTTTGTCCCTGCATGGACACTTTACTATAAAGAGTATGTTAGTAGCTAATAATTGGAGGCTGAATTTAGTGGATGTCAGAACTTTTTGGAGGTTGGGCCCCTCGAATTTGCCCTGAGCACTGTATCCTCTTGTGATCTGTTCGGTTGGATAATAAAATTCCCGATCATCTCTCCCATTTCTTACTGAGTTTTCTATCTATTTTGACCATTCTTATCACAGCCTGAAGGAATAATCCTCCAAAGTAATGACAACAGCAAGATTCAGGAATCACTTGGATGGAGTAACAAAGTGGGGAAGCATGACCCAACAGTGTCATTGCATCTGCTCATTCATGCTATGGTGGAGGAAAAGAGGATGGCTCAAGTGTTGAAGCTAAAGATCCAGAATGCAATGATGTATTGGGAAGGAAGAGGCATCAGAAAGAAGATGAAGTTGCAGATCAAGGATGTGTCCTATCACCCACCTTGAGGACAAGGTGGTTGTTCAAGGGCGGAGATATGATAGGCACATGAACAGCCAATAATAATAAGAATAATAGAGTATTATTATTAAATAGTGTTATTGTATAAATAAATGTCCTGGGCCATGTACTAGTTAGTTTTGGGCTGACCCATAAGTAAGTATAAATAGAAGGGAGGGGGAAATAAGGAGGCTGAAATTGGATCTGGGATTAGGCTTGGGAGTGCGAGACGACTCGAACTGTCTCACCCCTTCCCGTTTCTGCTTCTTCTCTTTCTTGTACGCTGGGTTTCTGCCATTGCAATTGCTTCAGTAATTTTGAGATTTCTCTTAATTCCTTACTGAATATACAGTAAATTGTCTGGTTTATATCAAAAAACTAAGACTATCATTTACCTTTTACATTGTTCATGTTGCTTTAATATATCTAATATACAAATGGAATAACTATTAGATGGACTGGACTGGTCTTTAATTAGTGCAATGATGCAGGAGGCTGAATTATTGTTCAACGTAAAGGAGCATGAACTTGTTCCTGCTCACCAGCTGATTACAACTGAAGAAAAGAAGAGATTGTTGGAGAGATATACTGTGAAAGAATCACAGGTTATTTATCCTCTCCAGTTTTTTTTTTTGATAATTTTAAGTAGGGATAATTTAAGTATTGCATGAAGCCATGGATAGATTTTCTTTGTTTGAAATCAAAGTGCAGGTACAATAGGTTACTAGACAAACCTCCTTTCAAATGACTATTTTTGTGATTCATATTGAAATGTGATATAAGCCTTGAAGTATCATCATATTCTTATTCCTTTCTTCTTGTAAATTGAACCTTTTGATTTGGCGTGTGTCTGTCCCCATGTTGCATAAGCTGAACTGTGACATTGCTACATCCCGTTTTGTGTGTAACTGTGTATGTGTGACACAAACACACACTTCTATATGGATCGATATGTTTCTTAAGGCATTTCTTTTGTTGAGGGATTATGGAGGGAAGGGGAGTTTTGTTTTATTAGTCTATCCTTTAGACTGTTGGAATGGAAGTGTAGATGAAATATCATAAAGATATCCATGATTCAACTAAATATATAATTATTTTATAGTTTAAGCCGTACAAATTGAGATAACTTAGCAAAACAAAAATCAATCCACCCTGCAAAAATCTCTCAACCAGACAAGCCGCTCTAAGAACTGTTCAGTGTCTGTACAATGTGACATGTCAAACATTAGAGAATTTATACTTTTGGTCCCATGACTATTACGGCATTTCATTGTGCCGTCTTTCTTCTTTTCTTCTTTTGGGACACGGTTATGGATTGTTTGCGACTTTTGGTCCTTCTGATCTCTAATACAGCCAATTTCCTTACAAGTTAGGGTTGATTTTCACTAAGAAGTGTCCAAGATGACCAAATGTGGCAAGACATGCATGGTTGTGTACCAAAGGTTGAGGAAATGAAAGTTGGGAACCAGATCCTACCAATGACCAAATAGTTGTGAGGACAAAAGTGATTTTCTTTTCTAATGAACTGTTTGCTGCCATACATTTCCTCTAAATTGATTCAGCGGTCCAGCCACTGAAGACTTCTAATATACTTTTTCCCTTGTGAGGCAGCTGCCGCGGATTTTTGTGAATGACCCTGTTGCCAAGTACTATGGGCTAAGACGTGGCCAAGTTGTGAAAATCACCAGGAAAAGTGGGACCGCAGGGGACTATGTTACGTATCGGTATGTTGTTTAAACTAAGCTTGTATTCCTCTCTGAAGACAGGAATGCAAACTATGGAATTGGCATACCAGTTTTTATGTCTCAAGCAGAGAACAGCCTACGGCAGCCTCAACCCTTTTTTCTGTTTCCTTTCTTGGAGTTGGCGTTAAATACACCAGATATCTATGAACTTATTATAAACGAGTTAAGTTAGGGGCAAGAAGATGCTCAAGTAAATGTTAGTTTGATGAAAATACCCTTTAAGTGGGTACGTGGGGGCTACCTATCATTTTCTGGTGATTCTTGCATATCTTTCCGAGTATTCATACGCTTTGATCTACTTTAACACAGTATGATTATCTAATTAAAATGTAAAACTTTGATTTCCAATAAATAATAATGACAAAATCTTTCTTAGACTCACATTTGATAAATGTTTGGCATATAACATGTAGAGGTCAACCGGCAATAGGTTGGTGTTTTAGCAATTTTTGGGAAATTTTAAACAATCAAATAGATAAAAGAATTGTATTGGGCTACGTGCAAGAAATATAATTTTAATATGTGAAAGAAGTAAAAATGGAAGTAATAAAAATAGAGCTGAAAGCTTTGTTATTGTTTTGCTAAAGTATAAGATGAAGTGGTTACAATGTGTGCTTTACAACCTCAAGGCTATGCTATTTATAATTTATAAAGAATGGGCAGATTAGCAGATATATTTCCTATTCTATTGCCGATTGAATTGAGCAAGTAGCCTTAGAAATGTCAGTCCACTCTCCAACTTATTTCCCTATTTTCTCTCCAATCCACATGATTGCTCAACTTTTAGAGATTATCTCCTACTCCTTAGGACTTCACTTAACCGCATGATATTATCCACCCAACTCAACATATTTATTAATTATGCAAAGACAATTAAACCCTTGCTTTAATTCTTGTCCCAAACATTGCCCCCTTTCGAGAAGTTGAGGCGTGGGGACGCACATGTCAATCTGTTAAGCATCAACTTTTCGAAATTTGAAAGAACATTTACTACTTCTCATCCTTGACTATCACACCCACCAACTTGTCATCTATCTAATGAGACATGTCATCAACTTGCCATTCGTGTAACAAGACGCTTTTGTCAATACATCACTTTTCTGATGACATGTTTCCTTCAACCCGTCACTCGTCTGATTGGTCGACTTTGTTAATTTCCGTGCAAGTAGTTTCTGATCTAATCCATCTCTTTGACTAAAGTGATGAAGAACGAAAGCTGATCTCCTATCATCTTCCCCCGAATTTATGCTAATTATTATTATAACTAGGCAATGCTGACAAGTTGAAACATCGTCCATGTTGATGTCGACACTTCAGTTGGCCAGGGGAACTTCGTACGTTGCTAGAGATGATGAGTTGGATTGCACGAACACAATTAAAATCCTGCAAAAACTTTGAATACTGTTTCGTTTATGGTTTTAGTACTATCGTCGACATGAATATTTATGATTTATGTCAATGTCGTTTGTATTGTCTCCTTATGTGTTGGAGCACATGCTTCTGTTGTGTACTTCTGTAGTTTTGGCCAAAACGTGTAAGGCGTATGGGTTTGTCTTTCATATTTTCTATATGAATGGCCCATACTAACCTCACCACTCCTTTTTATGTTGTCAGGAGTTGTGTAAGTGCCTTCCGTCGGCACGCTTAGAGTTTATAGCAATATTTGTCAATGTGTTTACTACGTCAACATCCTGCATGAAGTCACATCGTCAGAGTCTGGCCGTTGGCTTTTGGCCAACGACTCTCCGATGCTTAAGTTAGTGGTCATTTATGAGTAAAAGAAAATAATAAATTAAGAACAAGTATATGAAACTCTATCATCATAACCTATCTATAGTCAAACGATTTCAATCATGTTGTCGGGTTTATCATCAGACGACATGCCCCCCCCGTCCGACGATTTCAGTCATGTCGTCTGGTTTTATCCCATCACAGGAGCGACAACAATATGTAAAAGAAAATATCAAACTAAAAATGAAACAACTTTAAGGGTACCGTATTGCAGCTCTTCAGAACCTGTCTGTCTTTGGACGACATGCCCCTCGTCCGACGACTTCGATCATGTCGTCTGATCTATCTCTTGACGACTTGTTGCCTAGGTCTCTAATATGGGTTTCTATGCTTGTAATCATGCCTCCTGGGAGATTCTGATTTCCCATGCCCCTATTCGTGCTCAATTTGTCTTCGACGGGATCGTAAGTCTTCTTTTAGACGGATGAAAGCCAACGGCTTTGCTTGGACATCTTCGACGGACCGACAAGGGTATTTCATCAGTTCTTGGTACAACTCTGAATCTTCATACAAACTTCTTCTGAATGCCTCGATGACTGTTGGTATGTCACATCGGGGGATTGACACCTTCTCTTTGTTGAAGCGGTGGAGGTAATCCCTTAAGGATTCGTTGCGTTTCTGAACCACACGGTAGAGATCGCTGGTCTGCTTCTCCAGAACCCGACTTCTTGCAAATTGCTGGTTGAAGAGGTTGACTAGCTCCACAAATGAGTTGACGCCTTCATTCGGCAGATTGACGAACCACGTCAGCGCTGGCCCTGTCAATGTTGTCCCAAATGCCCTGCACATACAAGCCTCCCGCTGCTCTGGTCTGATCGAGGTGGCAAGCATCTGCTGCTTGTATTGAGCGACATGTTCCAGGGGATCGGTAGTTCCATCGAATAATCTCATCGAGGGGGCAACAAACTTTCTTGGAATCTCAACGTCAGTGATATGTCATCCGAAAGGAGAATCTACGTAACATGTCTGGGAAGCATTTTCCATTGGCAGTGGTATTCCGGGTATGCCACTGATCCTTTCCCGCAACTCTCTCAGCTCTTCCATGATGATGACCATTGGGTCTATTGGACCTGTCTGCATCTGTCTCGCAGTCGGGACTGGTGGTGTCATCACCCGGGTCACATCATGCCTGGTTGGTGAGGGAATGCCGATGATTTCAGGCTCTTGTTGTCTCTGGTTGTTGATGTCGACATGTAGAGGGACGTCGACATGTCGAGGGATGTCGACACGGTCTGGAACTCGTCGTCTCTGAGGTTCCGGAAACAGACTGTGAAACATGTTCCTGGTGGGATTCTGGAGAGGAACAGATCGGTTTGAGGGCCCCTGATCTCCAGATGCGCCGGCTCCTGAATGAGGGATAAAAGGTTCGGTCGAGTTTAGAATGGGGTCCAATTCCAGCCTCGTTGCTGCTGTCATGGCGTCACCTCTTCGGCTAAATCTTGAGTTGGAAGCTATGGACGCCACCGATTGCACTTGAGGGCGCAACACATCATTTTCTTGTTGGATAAAAGCAATCCGTTGAGCCATTTCACACCGGATTTCTTCCTTCATCGTCTCCAACTGCTTATGAAACTCGGCCATCATCTCGTTGCTCGTTCCTTCCATGGAGAATAAATTTCTTGCACGATTTCCCACAGACGGCGCCAAATTATTTTAGCAATTTTTGGTAAACTTAAACAATCAAATAGATAAAAGAATTGTATTGGACTACGTGCAAGAAATATAATTTTAATATGTGAAAGAAGTAAAAATGGAAGTAATAAAAATAGAGCTGAAAGCTTTGTTATTGCTTTGCTAAAGTATAAGATGAAGTGGTTACAATGTGTGCTTTACAACCTCAAGGCTATGTTATTTATAAAGAATGGGTAGATATATTTCCTATTTTATTGTCGATTCAATTGAGCAACTAGCCTTAGAAATATCAGTCCACTCTCCAACTTTTTTCCCTATTTTCTCTCCAATCCACATGATTGCTCAACTGCTAGAGATTATCTCATACTCCTTAGGACTTCACTTAACCGCATGATATTATCCACCCAACTCAACATATTTATTAATTATGCAAAGACAATTAAACCTTTGCTTTAATTCTTGTCCCAACAGTTGGTATTCAAACAACATCATCTAAGCCTTATTCTCAAAAGATTTTTGGGTCAACAATAGGTATTCAAACCATTCTCCAAATAAAAACTAATTAACATCAAAACCAGTGATCATCTACTCACGGTAAAGGGAACCACATGATTGAAAAAAAAGCATCTAAGATAACTCATTAGCAGTTTCATGGGCAACACAGATGGTTAATCACTAAATTGCTACTCCACATAGACTGCAAACTATGCTGAGAAATCGACATATCATGTTCATGGATTGTCCGTCTCCACAAGGCGTCGTTTATGTCAACAAAAGAAATACTACCTCCGTCCCTTAAAACTTTGCCAAGTTTGACCGGCACGAGGATTAATAAAGTAAAAACTGTGTGGTAGATGTTTGTGCAGAGGAGAGAGAATTAATTGGAACCGCAAATTCTTTACTTAAAAGGGAAAGTGGCAAAGTTAGTGGGACATCCAAAAAAGGAAAGTTGGCAAAGTTTTAAGGGATGGAGGGAGTATGCATCTTGTTCATTTTCTTCACGAATCTGTTCGTCCATTTTATGTCGGGTTTCTTCTAGTTTATCTTCTTCTTCAATTCTTTTTTTATTCATTAAAATACTAAGAATGTAATCAACTTTTGCTTTTCTTCGTCTTCAATTTAAATTACGAATGAATCTTTAACCCTTCTTCTACATAATTGAGATTTTATTAAGTGAGAAAATTGTCAATAGACCCTCGTACTATGTCGAAAAAGTCAATTAAGCCCCCGTACTTTGAAAACACTCAATTAGACCCTCACGCTTATAGAAAACGCTCAATTGAGCTATTTAGTAGGTTACAAACCGGTTTTCCGGTCAATTGCAAGTATTGCGCTTATGTGGCAGCCGTGTGGCAACTCTTTCCTTTCTTGTACTTTCTTTTTTCCTTTCTTTTACTATCTCTCTGTCTCTCCGTTTCCTTTTCTTTCTTCCCAGACTCCTTTTCCTTCCCTAATCTCTAATTGTCAAAGACTCAAAGACCTACCAAGCTACCATTGCCATTGATATGTTCGTAATTTCCATATTTATGTTTATGTTTTTAATTAGTTTTGCTTGACTTTTACTTTGGAAATTACACACTTTTGGTGTAATAGATTAAATTGTTAAATTCTTGTAAATAGGTTAAATTAGATATATTCTGAGCTCAAGCAGGTTTTCGTCACTCAAAGTACAGTTGGTGAACCCAAAAAGTGAAAAGAAGGTGCAAAAGTTCAAAGACAAAAGAAGATCCTGAATTTTGGTCTATACTCGGTCGAGTATTAGCTATACTCGATCGGGTATTAGGTTGGAACTTCAAATCGGATCAGATCCAAAGACAAGGGAACATGCAGGGAAGATTTCGGCCACGATTTTATGTCTATACCCGATCGGGTAGACAGACATACCCGATCGGGTATGCCTTTGAATTTCAAACGAAGATCGGTCGAGTATGGCCCGAATACCACTTTCTAAGCATACTCGACCGGGTATTCATATATACTCGATCGGGTATACTCTTAGAAAATAGCCTGGAACCGGTCGAGTATGCCTCGGATCGAGTGTTACACACGTACTCGATCGGGTACCATGTATATACCCGATCGAGTACCCGAATCCCATCCCAAAAACCTATAAATACACCTCCTTTCCTTCACAAAAAGATATCCAATCCCTTTGTACATCTAAGCTCAGTATAGAATAGCTCTTTCTTTATATTTTTCATCATGTTTAGTCTCCAAATGAGGAGCTAAACTCTTCCATCTTGGTTTTGCTACTTTGAAGCTTAATGAATTTGTAAGTTGTGAGTTATTTTCTTTAATCTTCTTCCTTGAATATTAATTCTTTCTTTCAAAATACTATCTCTATATCAAAGTTGGGGAGTGTTACTAAGATGACAATTAGTTAACATCTTCACATTGGTTATAGTAATAGCTATTTCTTCCTCTATGATAATATTGGGGAGTGTTACTAAGATGACAATTAGTTAACATCTTGATATTAATCATAGTATGATTCATTTTCTTTAATATGCTTCCTTGAGTATTAATTGATTCCCATTCATATTTCATGTTGATATCTCAAACATTACTCAAAGTATCACCTAGTATTGTTTCTCATATTAATTATTACTAGAAACGATCGGTTAATACGCTTGTTATTAATCCGGTTCTTTCAACGGTAGTAAACTTGGAATATTAATGCATGCATCTCATGGTTAATATGCCAAGGGGAATTAATTATATTGATTAAACCAATAAACCGCTTGTGTTGAGGTTATCAATCTCAATCGTTTTCATCTTAAGTTTATTGCTACTATCAAGTTAATATACGGCGCTTGTTCTATATTGACTCGATAGTAAGTTTTATTAATGAACGCATCTCGTTATTAATAACTACCCTCGATGAACTGGATATACTCCTCGATTGAGTATTCGAGAGGAAGATAGTTAGAGATATAACCGGGATCGACGAACATTTCATTAAGTGGATAAAAGCAAAACCAAGTCCCCATCTCATTGAATTAAACTCATATAGGTCGTTTATCTTAGTGTTATTAAACCAAACAAATCTAAACCCCCTTGTTACGATTTATATAAAAGAAAAGTATTCCTTTCCCTGTGGATACGAACCTTACTACACTATACTACGTATTAGTGTTGTATTGATTATTTATTTTGAGTGCACCTAACGACGAGTGCACGTCAAATTTGGCGCCGTTGTCGGGGAAAGGCAATTAATTTTTCTTTTATTTTCATATCAAGAAAAATAAAAAAAAATATTAAATAAAAATATAAAGATTTCTTATTTCTCCTATTTCTGAGCTTAGTGGAGTTTATGGTTAAACATCGCTCCATAAACAAAATCACATATCACAAAAACCCAGAAATAGAACAAACTTTCGAGCGGTTGAAAAGTAAATTTTCTAATACCGACTCGGAGGAATCATCTATCAGAGATTCATCCAGCGCTAGTTCTCATTCTAGCGAGACCGAAGAGTCAATAACTATGGCTCTTGAGACAAGAACACTACGGGAGCTCACTGCTCCAAATCTCAATCAACAACCATTATGTATTACCTTCCCTACACTCGATGAAGGTAATACATTTGAGCTAAAATCTGGGCTCATACATCTACTGCCATCCTTTCATGGCCTAAGAGGAGAAGATCCAAACAAACACCTTTCTGAGTTTCATATTGTGTGCACAAGCATGTGCCCCAGTGGTGTCTCGGAAGAACAATTCAAATTGAGGGCTTTTCCATTCTCCCTCAAAGACACGGCGAAGGATTGGCTATTCTATCTCCCTTCAGGGAGTATAGACACATGGGCCGCAATGAAAAAATGCTTCTTGGATAGGTACTATCCCGCCTCAATCTCATCTTCTTTAAAAAAACAAATAAGCAACATTGAGCAAAAAGAAGATGAAACATTGTATGAATATTGAGAGCGCTTCAAAAAGTTGTGTGCTAGTTGCCCATATCACGGGTACACCGAGCAAGACCTCATCCTCTATTTTTATGATGGTCTTGCGGATCAAGATAGGCGCATGATGAATGCGGCATGTGGAGGGGGAATTGTCAACAAAACCCCTTCTCAAGCAAGGAATCTCATCTCGGAGTTGGCCGAGAACTCCAGACATTACAGTGGGCGATCCTCAACTCGAAGGGTTGCGGCAGCAGAATCCAACACCTCGTTGGAAGGCCAAGTTGCCAGTTTGACTTCTCTTGTCAAAGAACTTCTTCTGAAACCAAACACTCAGGAGGTCAAAGCTTGTGGCATTTGCACAACAACCGGGCACCCCACTGATTCGTGCCCATCCCTCCAAGAAGAACAAGTCAACGCCTTGGGTTTCCAAGGCCATCAACAGAAGAGGTATGATCCATTCTCAAATTCTTACAACCCTGGATTACGGGATCATCCTAACTTGAGGTATGGAAACCCTCAACAATCCAACTCATCTTCTCAATCTGGTATGTCAACTGATGACATGATCCGGACTTTGACCTCAAGCATGGTTACCATGCAACAAAACATGGGACAATTTCAACAAACCATGATACAATTTCAACATGAGACAAAGTCAAGCATTAACAATTTGGAAACTCAAGTTGGTCAAATTGCAAATGCCGTGAATCGACTTGAAACAAAGGACTCGAGTAAACTCCCATCCCAAACGGAGCAAAACCCGAGACAACATGTGAATGCCATCATGTTGAGTAGTGAGGCAACATGGAAGGAGGTAGATCAAGAGGAGGACCCTGAAGAAGACATTCAACCTGAGGAGGGGGTCACAACAGCCAAGCTCCCCCCACCGTCATCATATGAACAAGTAGCCCCGTTCCCTGAGGCACTGAGAGAGACAAAGAAACCGGAGAAAGATTCTGACATCTATGAGACTTTCGCCAAGTGTGAGGTAAACATTCCGCTCCTTAACTCAATGAAAAGTGTTCCTCGTTTTGCTAAATTTTTAAAAGAATTATGCAAAACAAAAAGGAAAAATAAATTGAAAGAGAAACAAGAGGTTATGGTTAGTGAACATGTCTCAGCTATTTTCCAAAATAAACTCCCCGAAAAATGTAGCGACCCAGGCATGTTCACTATTCCTTGCACGATAGGGGGCACCACATTTCCTAGGGCCTTGTTGGATTTAGGGGCATCAATAAATGTCATTCCTCATTCCGTTTATAAATCCCTACAACTTGGCCCACTACATCAAACCGGTGTAATAATTCAACTAGCGGATCATTCTAGCACTTACCCGAAAGGTATGATAGAAGATGTGCTAGTAGAAGTGGAAAATATGGTCTTCCCTGTCGGAAATGATGACCAAACAACACCCATCCTTTTGGGTAGACCATTCTTGAAGACCGCAAAAACTAAAATCAACGTGTCTAGTGGTTCATTAACTTTAGAGTTCAATGACAAAAAAGTAGAGTTCAATATATTTGACTCTACGAAAAAACAAATTGAAGATCAATCTCTTTGCTCTTTAAGTGTTGTTGAACCACAAGAACCATTTTTGTTGAAGAAATTTGATAAAATCTTTCAAGAAGAGGAGAAAATTGAGCATAGGGAGTCATCGGTGATTGGAACAAAGTCATTGAGATGCAAACTTAAACCGCCGGCAATTGAGGTGTTGATGAGAAAGAAACCCCGGCCTTACTGGAAAAGGCCGAAGAATAAATTTGAAAAATGGCTAAATAAGGCCACAAAAAATGAATCAAGGGATGTTCACGATCCCACTTAAAAACAAAAAAAAATGAATAACGTCGTGCCACAACGTTAACTAAGGCGCTACTTGGGAGGCAACCCAAGTTTTTTTTATTTATTTTAAGTGTGTGTAATTCATTTTTTTTTATTTAATTCAAGTATTTAGAATTAATTTTTTTTGTCTAATTATTTGAGAGATCAGTGAGGGAGGGCACTAATCACGGGTTTTTGGAAGAAAAGAAATAAAAATGCAGGTTTTGGAGCATCTGGGGAAATACCCGATCGAGTACAACCTTATACTCGGTCGGGTATGACCAAAAAGAAAAGGGACCAGGCATTACTCGATCGAGGAAGCACTCAAAAATTGAAAAACAAGGAATACCCGATCGGGTATCACTATACACCCGGTCGGGTATGTATAGAAATGCTAAAGTGGAAGGAAACTGACTCCCACACTCGACCGAGTACAAGCTTCAAAAGTAGAAAAGAGCACATACCCGATCGGGTATGGAAGAATACTCGACCGGGTACCGGAGGCAGGCTGCTCACAAACATCATTTTCCAGATATACTCGACCGGGTAACCATACACTACCCGATCGAGTACAGGAGGCAGACTGCTCAAAAAGGCCACTTTCCAGACATACCCGACCGAGTACCAGCACATACTCGATCGGGTATACGGGTATTATAACCCCAAATCAGCCCCAAAACACTTCGTCTTCTCCGAATTTCCAACCCTATCTCGAACAAAAACGCCGAAACCCCCATTTTTACACCTTCTCTCTACCATATCTCTTCCAAATCTTCACCAAATCCTCCCATTTCAACACCAAAACACTCCCCCCATCCTCCTCTACACATTCATACTCACCGATCCCATTCTCCCCCAATTTTCAGAGGTCCGAAAAACCCTACCCCCCACCTTCTAATTTCGGTTTTCAAAGGCCAAATTCACTCCAAATGGCTCCAAGGAAAGAGAAAGGGCAAAGCTCAAGCACTAGGGCATCCATCCCGGGCTACGAGGACATCCTCTTCGTGGACAACGAACACCACACACGCTTCATGTCCACAATTGAAAGGCAAGTTAAACCTTCCCGCTTTTTATGCCATGATGCCCTAAAGGAATTAGGAGTGTACAAAATGATGAAGAAATTTTTTCATGAGTTGAGCAAGGATAAAATTTTCAAAATGCAATACAACTCAAATGAAAAAATTATCTATGAATTTCTAAGCTCTGTGCACTTTGAGAACAATGAAGAGGACTCTAGGGATGATAAACTCAGGTTTCGATTGTTTAATCACAATCACACCATCACAAAACTTGAGTTCGCCGAACACTTTGGTATTCCGGTCCTGTATCAAAAATCTATATCCGACAATACCGCCTTCGGCCACACCCTATGGACAAAGATGACCGGGAGACTAAATTTAGCTCCTCCCAACTCTATATTAGTCATGTCCAACATCCCGTCATCCGCCTATTTTTGAAATTCCTCGCCAACTCCTTGCTTGGATGCCCCAACAACCATCATACTAGGATGGGGGATGTGTGCCTCATCTCGGTAGCCCTATTCCGTGTCCACGTGGATTTCAACCTATGTAATCTCATGTGGGCACATCTAAAAAAAGAAAGTGTGGCAAAGGGTGCTATTGTAGTGGGCGGGGTGATTATGCATTTGGCCACAAAGTTCGGGTATACGGATGACTCTCCTATACCCGACTACTGTTTGATGAACATATCTTGGCTGGGCCACTCGGGCTGTACATATTTTTCACACACCGTTTATGGTGAAGAAAGGCCCAGAAATATGTACAACTGGCACATTCACCCCAAACCCCTCAAATACTTCCTCTTGCCCAACCCAGAACTCCCCCAACTCCACTTCAAAACAGGAAGAGCAGAGCAACATTACCTCTTCCCAAACGCCCTCCCACCACATCTCCAGGAACCGGAACAGGAACCTCCCCAAAACCAACCCGATTACGAGCCCTATGAGCAACTCCATAGCCATCCAACCATGAGCCAGGACTTCCCAGAACAAAGCCAAAACCCTCCACCACCCGACTTCTTTCAACAACTTCTGGAGGGTCAACAACAACTGCTCACGGGAATAACCCAAATGGACAACCGGCTCAACCGATTAGAGGAGGAACAAAGAGCCGGTTTTCAAATATTGGAGGATGAGCAAAGAGCCGGCTTTCAACGATTGGAGGAGCTCAGGGAGGCCGATAGACATCGGTATGAGGAAGACCAACATAGGTTCTACGGACCTATGTACTCTTTTATGGCACAGCAGGGATCCTTCCATACCATGGCGAACCCTCCTCCACCACCCTCATGGTATGACCCCACTCATTGGGGTAACTTTGGAGGATCTGGCTCCGGGGGTGGAGGATACGACGGCGGAGATGGCGGGGACACCTACATGGGAGATGGTGGCCAAGGGAGAGGCTTTGGAGGGAGCTACTACGGAGGAGAAGGCGGGCACTAGGGACAGTGCTTGATTCAAGTGCGGGGGAGACACTCATGATGGTATGTAATTTTCATTTCTACCTAGCACTATGCATGTAATTCTTTTGAACTTTTACACAAAAAAAAAACAAAAAAATAAAGAAAAAATAAACAAAAGAAAATAAATGCTAGTTAGGTTGAAAACCCAACAAAATGGACAATCTAAGCAAAAAAGGCTTATAAAAAAATGAGTGAGTTGGAGAGAATGGAAAATGAAAAGAGGTGCTAGGATGAAAACCTGAAAAGACTCCTAGGCAAAATGAGAGATATGAGAGAAATGTTTGTTCTTGCAGGCACTCATTGTATCCTTGTGAAGAATAAGAAGATTCAAGATAAAGAAGAAGAGAGGAGGAGAAAAGAAGATAACACTAGGAGGCCATTAAACCCAAGATGCTCTTTTGTAATTTGAGTTTAAAACTCATTTTTCCTTGTCATCCTTGGTGGTCTTTGTGTTTGTATTGTATTTTTGTTGAACTGTGGAACTTTTGGACAAACATTGACACTTGTAAACATTTGATCTTACTCGAGACGAGTAAAGGTTTAAGTGTGGGGGAGTTGATACGTTCATAATTTCCATATTTATGTTTATATTTTAAATTAGTTTTGCTTGACTTTTACTTTGGAAATTACACACTTTTGGTGTAATAGATTAGATTGTTAAATTCTTGTAAATAGGTTAGATTAGATATATTCTGAGCTCAAGCAGGTTTTGGTCACTCAAAGTACAGTTGGTGAACCCAAAAAGTGAAAAGAAGGTGCAAAAGTTCAAAGACAAAAGAAGATCCTGAATTTTGGTCTATACTCGGTCGAGTATTAGCTATACTCGATCGGGTATTAGGTTGGAACTTCAAATCGGATCAGATCCGAAGACAAGGGAACATGCAGGGAAGATTTCGGCCACGATTTTATGTCTATACCCGATCGGGTAGACCGACATACCTGATCGGGTATGCCTTTGAATTTCAAACGAAGATCGGTCAAGTATGGCCCGAATACCACTTTCTAAGCATACTCGACTGGGTATTCATATATACTCGATCGGGTATACTCTTAGAAAATAGCCTGGAACCGGTCGAGTATGCCTCGGATCGAGTGTTACACACGTACTCGATCGAGTACTCGAATCCCATCCCAAAAACCTATAAATACACCTCCTTTCCTTCACAAAAAGATATCCAATCCCTTTGTACATCTAAGCTCAGTATAGAATAGCTCTTTCTTTATATTTTTCATCATGTTTAGTCTCCAAATGAGGAGCTAAACTCTTCCATCTTGGTTTTGCTACTTTGAAGCTTAATGAATTTGTAAGTTGTGAGTTATTTTCTTTAATCTTCTTCCTTGAATATTAATTCTTTCTTTCAAAATACTATCTCTATATCAAAGTTGGGGAGTGTTACTAAGATGACAATTAGTTAACATCTTGACATTGGTTATAGTAATAGCTATTTCTTCCTCTATGATAATATTGGGGAGTGTTACTAAGATGACAATTAGTTAACATCTTGATATTAATCATAGTAGGATTCATTTTCTTTAATATGCTTCCTTGAGTATTAATTGATTCCCATTCATATTTCATGTTGATATCTCAAACATTACTCAAAGTATCACCTAGTATTGTTTCTCATATTAATTATTACTAGAAACGATCGGTTAATACGCTTGTTATTAATCCGGTTCTTTCAACGGTAGTAAACTTAGAATATTAATGCATGCATCTCATGGTTAATATGCCAAAGGGAATTAATTATATTGATTAAACCAATAAACCGCTTGTGTTGAGGTTATCAATCTCAATCGTTTTCATCTTAAGTTTATTGCTACTATCAAGTTAATATACGGCGCTTGTTCTATATTGACTCGATAGTAAGTTTTATTAATGAACGCATCTCGTTATTAATAACTACCCTCGATGAACTGGATATACTCCTCGATTGAGTATTCGAGAGGAAGATAATTAGAGATATAACCGAGATCGACGAACATTTCATTAAGTGGATAAAAGCAAAACCAAGTCCCCATCTCATTGAATTAAACTCATATAGGTCGTTTATCTTAGTGTTATTAAACCAAACAAATCTAAACCCTCCTTGTTACGATTTATATAAAAGAAAAGTATTTCTTTCCCTGTGGATATGAACCTTACTACACTATACTACGTATTAGTGTTGTATTGATTATTTATTTTGAGTGCACCTAACGACGAGTGCACGTCAGCCATCACCCCATTTCTCTCCAACACGCTCAAGGCCTCAACCCTGTTTCCGACATTGTCGGGATCGACACATTTTCCGGCGGTTGCGATAAATCTGGCTTCACGCAAGAAGATGACAATGACTACTATATGGACCGACTCAAGGTGTTCGCTTCCAATACCTTGGCCGACAAAATCGAGAAGTATTAAAAATTCAGTTCGCCAACTGATTGTGTTGTTTATGACTCTCTTTTTCCCTTGGTCTGTGGAAGTGGCTAAGAAACGTTGAAAACCCTAGCTGTTTAGATCAACAAGTACTAAAACTCCAGTTCTCCGATTGATTGTGTTGTTTGTGACTTTTTTTTTCCTGGGCTGTGCAACTGGCTAAGAAATATGAGGGCTTGTTTGCGACTAATTTTTTCACCCAAGCTTGTTCGAGTAGTTATGTGTATTCTTCGGTGAACCATGGGATATTTGCAGTTTCCGATGACTTCTACGCCGGTGAGACTTAGGGTCTGCCGCCGCAGGAAATTCTGCACATGCCATCATTCATTAACCACCATGGATCTTGTCCCGTTTGATTTAAGCTTTTGATGCAACCCCCATGGGGAAAAAGAGAGAAGCGTAGGTAGGGGTGGTCCGGGCCCGGGCCGGGATTGGGTGGGACTGGGGTTTTGGGTTGCATGCCCGGTACTGGCATGGGTTTGTACCGTGCAACCGGTGCATGGTGAACACCATGCACCCATGGTTACATGAAATGTAACTCGTGTGATTTTATATGTAACTTCAAGTTAATTAAAATGTAAATTACACGCATTCATATGTAACTCATTGAGATGTAAAGTGCTTTAATTGAAATGTAACTTGGAAAGAAATTAGATGTAACTTGGAATATGTAACTTTAGACAAATCTTGATGTAACTTGGGTGTACCCAAGATGTAAATTGAGGAAGATCTAAAATAATTCATAACAGTCATCTTCAACAAAACTAGGGGTGGATTCGGTTCGGGCCACCCGGCCCGTGACCCGGCCCGGCCCGCTACTGTGCGGGCCCGGGACCGGCCCGGTCTGGCGGTCCGGGACCGGGTGTAGACCCGAACCGGTGGCGATGGGCGGGTCGGGTACGGTTCCTGAAAAACGTGACCCGGCCCGGCCGGGTCGGGCCCGGGTCCGGGTCCAATGGTCCATTTTAAAAAAAAAACTGTTAAAGCCCAAACTAGCCGTTATGGCCTTGGGGGTGGGGTACAGGGGGGGTCCGGGGGGTTTGGGGGGTGGGGTGGGGGGTGGGGGGTAAAAAAAAACCTATAAATACTCCTAATCTTAAACATTTTTTCATCTCTTCTCCAATTCTTCCTAAATCCTATTCTTAACTCTCTACTCTCTAATTCTCTTATTCTCCAATATATTATATTTATTATTTATATATCTACTTTATATTAATTATCTACTTATAATTTATAAATACATACATTATAATATTATATTACTTATATTTGTTATATAGTTATATATTACTTATACATTTATTATATCTATTAATATAGTTGGAATTATATCTAATTAATTTGAAGTCATTCTATTACTCCCATCCGAAAGACCGAAAGTCCGAAAGAGGTACAAAATTATTCTATTATTTACACTTGTTTAATTTTGTATTAACGTTACTTGAAAAAAAAACTAGTTAATTAGGTTGTACAATTTGCTATAACTCGAATTATAGTTAATTATTTTATTACAATTTTTTATTAATTGCTACATTTGACTCTAGTTTAAAAAACTAGTTGTAATTCTAATTATAGTTAAAGTTAAAGTGTATTGATTTAATTGTTAGTAAAAAAAATAGGTTGTACACAAAACTAGTTAATTCACTTGTTAATTTGCTATAACTCGAATTAATAGTTATATTAATAGTTAATTACTTTATTACAATTTTTTATTAATTTCTACATTTGACTCTAGTTGAAAAAACTAGTTGTAATTCTAATTATAGTTAAAGTTAAAGTGTATTAATTTAATTGTTAGTAAAAAATAGGTTGTACACAAAACTAGTTAATTCACTAGTTAATTTGCTATAACTCGAATTAATAGTTACATTAATACTTGATGGAGTATATGGCCCGGGAACCCCCGGCCCACAGACTCCTACTACTCCAGCAAAGGCCCAACAGGCCCAAAAGGCCCAACAGGCCCAAATCACAGCGCCCAGAGTACCAAGCAGTCCGCACAACGCACAGGGGTGCCTTCGGCCCCCTGGCCGAAGGCTCCAAATTCTCACAGAGCGGGTTTCTCAAGCAAACTAAGAAACTGGGAGAAAACGACGAAAACAGTAGCCCTCGGCACCAGGGGGTGCCATCGGGTGGAAGAGCCCTCGGCTATTGCTTTATAGCCGAAGGCATCTCACTCGACAAGATATCCGCCTCACATACGTACAGATCACCGTACCCCGCACAGACGTCCCCTCCAACAGCCGCATTAAATGCGACCACATGCGGCTGCCAGCGCCAACCAGTTGAGGTGACCCCTCGGCCAATGAGCACTTGACACGTGTCCCTGCCCGACATTTATTGCTACTATAAATAGCACCCCATTTCCCCATTTGTAACCACGCTGAATACATATCGAATATACACTCTCTCTCTTACTTGTTTGCTCTGACTTCCCTCTAAGTTATTCCCCGTAATAACCCTTCGGATATATACCCCCGGGTAGACTATCCATCATTTGGTGCTCTCGTTGAGAGGTTGAACAATCGAGTAAGAAACCCTCCCCCTCGACCGAACACAAAACACTAGCCCTCTATCAAAATGGTGAGGACAACACGTGCCAACTCAAAGAACGTAGAAGACAAGAACCTGGCCCTCGACGACGTCAACGCCCCCGAAGCCTCTCACAGGGCTCCCGAGGGCGGTGTCCTCGCTGGGCTGGAACAGGCGGCTGTCGACCTACGCCTTCAGATCCAACAAAACGCCCCCGATGCCCGCCTCGGCATCGAGGCCAAGAAGAAAACCGGAGCGATGACCAAGTCAGCCCTCCGGTTCTCACCATCGACGTACAATCGGCGCTCTCCGCCTTCATCCAAACGCTCACCCAGAACCCGGGTGCCTTCGGCACCCTGGCTCCAGCTCACCCTCAGATCGGGGAAAATATCATACTTCCCCCTCTGCCACACCCCTTCGGAAATCCCACCCCTCGGGTGAGAAACGACGAAGGGGTGGTGGCCCAAGAAACATCCTCCCAGGAAGTTCAGTCCCGGGACCGCCATAATGACAACAGGGAAAGGCCCCGTACTTCCGCCCTCAACTGGCTCGGAGGAGGGCTAGACCGCCGAGGGGTCCAAGACCGCCTTGGGGGGAAAGCACTCCAAAGGCCCCAGGAAAGCGGGGGATCTGTTTCGAGGGCAGACGAGGAGCGTCCCCCTCGGGACAAAGGCAAGGCACCCCTTCATGCCGATGATGCTCGGCACCAAATCAACCAGGCCCACTCGGCCCGGGTTCGTTCGCATGGGGCGGAAACCCTCCCGAGGGACCCTCGGGACGAGATTATTGCGGCCCTCCAGCGCCGGCTTGACGAAATGGAGTCCAACAAAGCTCACGCCACCACCTCCACCCCTCACTCAGATCTCAAATACGAGGCCATGATGGCCAAAATGGAGGAGTTACAGAAGAAGGTGGCCGAGGGCTCCGGGGAACCCGTCATCCAGCTCCGGACTCGGACGCCATTTACCCCAAGGGTATTGGCGGCCCGGATCCCGGAGAAATACCGAGGGCAACACATACAGCCCTACAGCGGGAAAACGGACCCCCAGGAACATTACAGCAAGTACCAGAACTGCATGATGATGGTGGGGGCGTCAGACGAATATTTGTGTCGTTGGTTCCTCTCCACCTTAGAGGGACCAGCATACGAATGGTTCAACAGGCTGCCCGAGGGCTGTATTGATTCATGGCAAGAACTCGCCCAGCGGTTCTTGACACAATTTGCCGGGAGGCGTCGCACAAGGAAGCACTTCTCCCACCTCCTAACAATACGCCAGAAGAAGGATGAGACCCTTCGGGATTTCCTGGAGCGTTGGAGGACGGAGGCCGACAAGGTCGACGGTGCTGATGACGGGACCCTCCTGGCCCTCCTACAAACCGTCCTCCGCACCGACAACTTTTCAAGGAGCCTCATCATTGAACCCCCCCGCGACTACATAAGGGCCTTGCAGCGGGGGGACCGATATGCTGAGGCCGAGGAGGTGGAGAAGTATCACCAGCATCCGGACCAGCAGCCCCCGAGGGCTGACAACAAGCACAACCGAGGGCCGGGGGCTCCTCCAAATCGCCCCAAGGCTTCGGGACCCTCTGATGACCGCCCTCGGCAAGGCCAAGC